TGGTGTGTGTGTGTGTGTGTGTGACAGATTGTTGTGTGGCAGATGTTGACTGGGTTCCAGATGAAGTTTCAAGGGTTCAATTCTGGTTCTTTCAGCCGTGTGACAAACAGGCCAAGGTGTGTCTGTGTATCTGTGAGAAGAAATTATCATAACTTTAAAGCAGTTAATTAGAATTTTCAGGAAAATGTTTATATGATTTGGAAATCATTCTTTTAATGTAAGGGACTACTTTTTAAGTGGATAAACATCCAGTTACACTGCTGTTCAAAAGTTTGTGGTCGGCAAGATTTTTAAAGGGGTCATATGATGCGATTTCAAGTTTTCCTTTTTTGTTCATCATGGCTGAATGTATTTTATCAAAAATACAGTAAAACTGTAATATTGTTGATTTATTACAAAATTTTCAGCAGCCATTACTCCAGTTTCAGTGTCACATGATCCTTCAGAGATAATTCTAGTATACTGATTTGGTGCTCAAGAAACATTTCTTATTATCAATGTTGGAAACAGTTGTGCTGCTTAATATTTTTGGAAACATATTGGAAATATCATATAAATATTGAAAAATATTTCATTGGAAACAAAATATTTTTTGGCCTTTTTTTTAGTATTCTTTGATAAATAATAATTTCAAAAGAACAGCATTTATTTGTAATAGAAATCTTTTGTAACATTACAAATGTCTTTACTGTCCCTTTTGATCAATTTCATGTTTTCATTGAAAAAAAAAAACATACTGAGCCCAAACTTTTTACTGGTAGTGTATTTTAACAAAATATATATATATATATATATATTTTGAATTTTCAAAAACAGATGGACATTACAAACTCTGCAGCTTTGGCATTTAGCATTACATAACCTTGTAAGCCTATCATATAAAGACTCTGATGACATGAAGTTATAATCAAGCTACAGTATGTACAGTTAGGTACAGTCATCATCTGTCTGTCCAAGTATACATAACGCAATTGGTATTCAAATATTTGAAGTTTCAAATACATGTCGCACTTCATCACTGTGTTTTGGAGCAAATGCACAACGCTGAGGCTGATTGTAGTCTGATTAATATATATATATACACATTATCTAGGTCGGTTAGTGCAACTTTGCAAAACCTGGCTGGTACAATTTCAGTATGACTAAAGCCTTTACATGATTTTTAAGGATAGGCTTTATTATAACTGAAATCAAACATTTAAAGTGTTCGCAAACAAATATGTTATATAATGTGATGTATTATGGAACTGTGTCCATACAAAAGCAGTTTATCTGGAATATGTCCTGAACTGACTTGCATTCAGACAAAAGAGCCTCTGGTTTCCCTGTCGAGGTCTGGCAGTGTGAAGAAAATAAAGACACTGTGGCTCTATCATGAGGTTATTAGTTTGGGCATCCCAACTAGACTTCACATGGTGTTTATGGATTAGTTTATATTGATTTGAACTGCCAGAGTGCATATTCAGAGCTTTCTGAAGAACACCGATCTGCATGTTCTCATAATCCATCACAGCTGTGCCATAATCTTGTTTTGACTAACAGAAATATGAATTCATTGTTTCATTTAAACTACAAAAACATCCAGTGTGTTTCTAAAGCTCAACTCTGCTGTAACGCCTTAAGCCCATTTCAGCAAAAACAGAGCAGTGTGTTCATTCTTTCTGTCCTTTAATCACCTCTTTCATTTTTTTAATGGCATTGTACAAAATCATCAAAGCAGATGCTGTCACATGCTTTCTTTAAAGAGACGGGAAGTCAGAACGTCAGGCAACTTTAATGCACGTGTGTGTGTTGCGCAAGTGTGTGGGTGTTTGTTCTTTCATGGCGACATGATTGTCATCCTAAATATGCTCTAATAAAAGCAGATCTTTTCCATACATGAAGACCATCAATGGATAGCAAAACGATCACACACAGGTGTACATACACGCACACAATGATGCTGAACAGACCCAGAAAGCAAAACGAAAGACAGAAAACAGGTTTTCCTGTCTCTCCTTCTCAAAATGGATAAATTGCAGCTTTTTAGAGATGTGATCTCCATAATCTTTGATCAGTGTAAATCATCTAATTGGCCTTTTAGTATATAACTGATGCATGTACATTTTTACAGATCTTTATCACTTTCTTCAGTTCATTTAGATTAGAGCCCTGCACGGGCCTCAAATTTAGGCCCTAGCCTAAAGCCTAGCCCTGGCCCGAGACGCTCGGGCCCTAGCCCGGCCCGTGTCTGACAGCTTATCAGAATTACCGGCCCGAGCCCGAGCCCGACCCGAGCGCGTCTTTTTTCCCCTTCTCCCAAAACAGCTTATACTACTGTTTCAGCTATTAAAATAGTTCAGTTTTGTATATAATAGCAAAGTGATTACATTTCGTTTCATTTTTTTAAGAAGTTAATTTAAAAAAATGTTTGGATCATTTTTTGTTCGTTAAATATAAGTTTTTGTTTTTTTAAAGTAACGACCAAGCGGCCAGCGGTAGGCAGTGAGCCTATGTTTGATCAATTTAGCCCAGTGATGGGCAAACTTGGCCCTTCCAGGCCACTTTCCTGCAGAGATTGGATCCAACCCTGATAAAACTCACCTGCCTGTAGCCTCCTAGTAGTCTTGAAGACAATGATTAACTGGTTCAGGTGTATTTGATTAGGGTTGGAGCTAAACTCTGAAGGAAAGTGGCCTGGAATTCCCATGCCCACTACTTAACAAAATAAAATAAATCAAAGACAAAAACTCTTTCATTATAATCATAATCCGTAAAGATGCACTTCTCTCTAAAGGCGCGTCTAATGAGGAGATGGCGAGTCAGGATCGGCAACTTCATCCTTGTAACACCGACTCCGAAAACACTAGTTTATTAGTAAATAACTCAAATATCTCCTTACTATTTCCCCCGTCACATTTATGGTAATTACTTTTGCCGGTGCTTTGTGGCAAGCTTAAGCCTATTGCTTGCATTTGAACGCAGAACTGTTCAGCTGCGCTGACGGCACACACCACACATACTGCTGCTGCGGGACACTAAACACCGTAGAGCCGCTCTTGACAGTCGCGGTAGCACGGTCTCGTGTTGTTTCCACCAGCAAGGCAATTTTTATCATCACTAATTGATGGATGTCTAAAATATCAAAAATGAGAAGCCTAAAACAGGCCCGAGGCCCGGCCCGCGTTTGAACTATGACGTGAAAATTGGCCCGAAGCCTGGCCCGAGGGGCATAAAAAAGTCTGAAATGCAGGGCTCTAATTTAGATTAAAATCACTCATTTGTTTTCCTCATTTGTAAGTTGCTTTGGGTAAAGCCATCTGCTAATGAATAAATGTAAATGGGATGTGTTTTTTAATTTTATTCTTTGAAGTCTGTCGATAAAGTTGGTTATGGTTTCATGCACCAGAAATAGTCATAATTAACTTTTGCATGACTATTTTATACTTTGTAGAGGGATAGTTCACCCCAAAATGAAAATTGTCATTTACGCACCCTCGTGTTGTTCCATACTGGTATGAATTTCTTTCTTCTGTGGAACATAGAAGATGTTTTGAGAAAAAAAGCTCAGTGTTTTTGTCCATACAGTGGAAGTCAATGGTCAGCAAAACTTTTTAGTTTCTAACATTCTACAGAATATATTAAAAGAAGAAACAAAGTCATTCAGGTTTAAAACAACATGAGGGAGAGGGACAGAATTCTAATTTTTGTGTGAATTATCCCTTTATGCATCACTTATCTTCTGATTGGCTGTGGTTTTGTCTTATTGAGCAGCAATTTCATGTTCAGTATGGACAAACTATTGCTTTTTGCTGGAAACTTGGTCGGCACATTGTTTCAGAATGTCTACATAGATTAAGAACTAGTTTATTTAAAAAAATCTTGTAATTCATTGTATGTTATAAATCAGCACACATGGTTACCTTTCCTGTTTACAAGCCATTTCATTTGTGTGTGTGGTTTGGGGTTAATGTGAGGGTGAGCGTGAACTTTGTGGTTAAATGCAGGGTTAAAGTCAAAGGTCAAGTGTCATTCATCATGACCTGTTTAAACAGCAGTGGAGATTTTGTACTTTGCATTTCCTGTCTGCTGCTTCAGGTATTGTTCTCAGACAGAACACTAAACAGACACACTCACATTGCACATTTAGAAACAATTACTTTATTAATTTGAGAGAAAAACACATTTAAAATACCAAATGGTAATAGAGAGAATCAGAATTTGTCATTCTGATGGTAAAAAAAAAGATGGTGGAAAGATTTGTGATCAGAATTCCCCTTTACAATATATTTCTACATTATAATACTTCCAAAAACATGATATGTTGTTTGAGTGTGAAACTGATGTTACATTCAGGACCCGTATGAAATGTTTTAAGAACTTGGGGGGGCACCTTATATCCCTTTAGTGCGCCCTCCAAAATGTGCATTTACTCCTGATTTCCATCCAGACATCTACAGGGAGGAGTTAATTTCTAATTTTTTTGGAGGGGAAGAGATGGATGCATGTGTGATTGTATGTCAGGTGAAATGAGAGAGAAATTCTGAGCTGGAGGTAAAAGAGAGGATTGCATTAGTTGGCTGTGGTCCGGCATTTCATTGGCTAGAGAATGAAGATGACTATAACAGACTCCGTCCTCATTCAAGTTTAAGTGCCTGAGCTTCTTCCATCCCCTCCCTCCATCATTCCACCTCCTATTAACCTATTTCTGCAGTTAAGACCCTTGTGTTGTGGTGGCCAGAGAGTTTGACCTGAAAGTTTTGAGGCTGAATCTTGCACCACACACACACACACACGTTTACACCTCACTGCCGTTCTGTGGAAGTCTCTCAAAGAGCGCGCAAATGCACTTTCCAGATGTGAGAATATAATAGATTTAATTATTCTGTCATCATTTCTGCCTCACAGATACAAGGTGAAAGCTCAGGCCTTCAGGGTGTGCGTGTGTCTGTCAGTAGGCTTTAGTGTGCGTGTTTCTGTCCGTTGTGTTCGAGGTGTGTTTTCTGTCACTATACCAAAAGCTGCTGACTCTGGTTTTCAACAGGCTCTTTGCCAGGGGTGTCTCGTTCCTGAAGGCAGGACCTGATGGAAAGTGAAGCCAGTGATCAACCTCAGTGTAACAGGAATCAAAGCCGCAGTCTCTGAGCACTCATTAGGGTGCTGGAGCTGTTCTGGAACATTCCTGCATATGAGTTTCTGAGTTTTCCTTACTGAAATCATCCCTCCATGACCGATTTGTACTATTCCTTCCTATTAATGCTTTGTACAATTCATAAACTGAGGAGAGAAAATTTTCTCTTGCTCAAGTTTGATGAAAGACCAAATGAAACCGACCTGTGTGAAGGTTAAAGTTTATTTAGTTTTTAGAAATTCTATACTTATCACAAAAACTATTTCACCACCAAAGAAATCAAACCTCTAATATTGTAATATTGTCTGAGTCAGAATCTACTTTTTGCTATCGTTTATGTTGGTTCAGTTATACATGCTAGTTTAATGAGATGTCAGAGATGAATAAATGGTTATACGAGCACACAATATTTCCAATGTTTCATCTCAGGTGCAGGAGGTGTGCTTTGTGTGCACACAGACCTGAATATTTGATGATGTTGTCTATCAATGTTTTGTTTGGCCTGATAATGAAAAAAGTTAAATTTATAAAAAATTTTACTTTTGCTATTTTCAATTATTTCAATATTTATGTGTATGTGTCTGTATAATGATCAGAATTTTTTTGGTGCTGCTTTTGGAGGAAGAAAGAATGGGATCATCAGAAAAGGACATTTGTTATGCAGTTATACAGTACATTTTCATTCAAAATATGCATATACACTGTCATTCAAAAGTTTGGGTAATATTTTATAATATAAGTCTCTTAAGAAGTCTTATTCCAGAGTGACTCATTTATTATTAAATATTTCACTTTTTTCCTTTTTCTTATCAAAATATTTGGGGGGAAAAACATGATTTCATTGTTTTTGTTTTGACAATATGGATACTATTGCCATCCACCAGGAAAATAGCAGTACAAGTATAAGCAAGTGTTATCAACCAGTTTGAGGAATTCTGTGGGGTTTTGTGGCATTAGTTGGTTTGTCTTCCTTTCCATTAGATTTACAAATTAGTGATGGGGATCACATTGTTTTTATTAAACCTAATCATTTAATTTTTGTGAAGGCCCTGGTTAATTTAAACTACATTACAGCGCTTCCACTGCATCACATTAAAATCTCATTCAAGTTGAAACTCAGGTTTATCATGCCCACCTTTATTAACAGAAGAAGGAAACTATTCAGTGTGCAGTATTTACCTTCCACTTAATCAGATGTGGCTGTGTGCACCTCTGAGTAGAATGAGATTAAAGCCTCACACGTTCTCCGTGGCTCTCTAGGGTTCCTCAATGGCTCTGTTCAGGGACAGCAGGTGATGTAAGATGCGAGACTGGTAGAATGAGAAACGGGTCGACGAATCTTTGATGGAGTCTGCTGGAGGCCCAAATCACTTCCAGCTGCAATGTGCTTTGAAGCTTTATGATCCAGCCACTCGTTCTCTTTCTCTTGCAACACACATTTTTCTGTATCATATTGTATCCGTCCTGCAGCTCTCAGTATATTTCACTCTCTTTACAGATTTGCTGGTCGGTGCATTTGGCGTGAGTAAAGTTGTGGCCTACAGGTGAGAAAGTTTACACTTTACATAAACCATATTAATACAAAATTATCAAAATGTTGAAAAATTTATATTTTTACATTTTATACAAGTACTCATGTGAAGATTCATGACATGTGCATCATAAAAAGTTGTAATTCGATACGAGTAATTTTTGTTTTGAGTTTTGTGTTTCTCAGCTTTAAGTCTCGGCATTCAACTGAGGCCAGTGTTATCATGAATTATTACAAATCAAAACATTGTTATACATCAAATAATATGTTTGTGTGCAGCTGCACATATTTTTTCTGGCCTAAACTCACTCACAGTTTTCTACTACACTCACATGCTTTCCCCATTAGAGTGAACGGCACAGAAACCACCTGTGTTTGAGGTTTAGCTGGAAGGAAACCTGATACATATAAAGTTGTTTTTCCTCTGTTCTATGATAGTATTGAAACACATTTTTTAAACTGCATAACAGAAAATATTGAAATGTCTGGCTTCATAATGTATTCATGAAGAAATCCTTAGCTGTAGTTGACAGGAGTACAGTCAGCGAACATTGTGGCATGTCTAGTCTGAGTACCCAAGACTTCGACTGGGTATTTCAGATCAGGTTTCCCTCAGAAATGTTTCAAAATAGTCCCTTTTTCCTGCCTCAAGGCCACCAAAAACACACAGACAAATGAACCTGTCCCAGCACACAGTCTCACGCACTAGCAGTGTCTTGGTGTCAGTGTTAAAGCGATTAGCTGTCGTGGGCTCTGGTGTATTTGTGTAAGCTAACATTTCCACTGTTAATCCAGTTTGAGTGCTAGTCTCAACAGACTGAAAGTGAGACCGGAGCAGAACAGAGACTGACCTCATGTTAAGTTCTCATTTACTCAGTCTGTCTGATGTTCTATTAGAATAAGACTCTGAATGTTTAGTTTCTGTTAGTTAAATGTTTTGTAAGTGATTATGTAATACTGTGCATTAAATGTTCATTCCGTCAGAAATCAGATGTCACTGAAATAGGCGTTCTGAGAAATGACTTCAATTAGTTTTTTTAGCTAATCGAAATTCTTGTCAGTAATTTTGTATGTTCAGGTTTGCTGTTGTGAGAGAGAGGTTTTGGAGAGAAGGTGTGTTGTTGAAGTTAGCAAAATGGCTAAAATCACTCAAAGCACCTTTAAAGTCAACATGAAAACAAAATGTACATTTATATTTACTTTCTTAATGCATGTTCCTGGTCTTATTCTAAACAATTCATTGGTACATTATTCTATTTTTGAATTTTTTTTTATTATCTTCCTTTGAAACAACTTTGAACTATCGAATATTGTTAACCAACAACCAAAAAGCTATTAGTGATCTAATATTCACATATTTTCATATGAGTATCTGTTTCACACTTACATACATGTAAAATGTGTTATGAACTGAAATTCACATTGACATTAGGTCTTGTCATTTCTTTTGATTTTTAACAGACAACTTTAGTGGGTTCCTAATGTTCATGTACAGCTCTGAATTTAGCTTCCCATTCAAACTTATTACTGCAATATATCATATCATATCATATCATATCATATATCAATTATATCAGTCATTTGTTATTTCTTTTTGTAATATTATTCCCATTATATTGTCTCTCATCAATACTAGGTCAAGGCCAGTGGTCACGGTGGACGCTCAGCTGATTTTGACACCCAGAATTCTCAATCCTGAGGACAAGTCCTGCCGCATGCCCAATTCTGATGACATGGTAACCTGGTAAGTGTCAACCACATTTATCCAGTGCTAGTTACTGAAGGGTGACTCTTGTGTACTTCAAGCTCAAAAAACAAACAAACAACTTTTGAAAGTTCATGTTTTCATTAATCTATTCTCGATGAAGTGTTCAGCTGATGGGACAGTTATGTTGATCTTTAGTTCTGGTTAAGGGTAAACCAAAGCAGTCTGGGCCAAAGAGCTATGGCTGACTGGAAGGTTTTAAAGTCATATGGTCTATAGTACCACATTACAGCAGTTTTTCTTCTCTGTGGTAAAACTTTAGTGTTTCTGGAAGTCTCAATACATTCTTCCAAACCACACAAACATACACACAACCCTGCATTCTTACCCCTTTTGTGGATGGACATTGTGTCCCACAAGTAGTTTTTGGGCCCCGTGACTGTAAACATACCAGATCTGTTTGGCTGCTTGGGGTGCATGTGCCCGAGTGTTAGGGTTGGCATGGGGAAAAAAGAATTGGAGGTTTTGGAGAGACAAACGAAAGAACTAAAGTGTGGAATTCTGCAATAACAAAAGAGTAGCTTAGTAAAATAAATGTACAAACTGTGGTTGGAAATAGAGAGACAGAGAGAAACCTTGAATCACACCGATGAACACCAAGAAACAGAACAAGCCAGAGAAGAGAGCGTAAAGAGATCCAGAGGATGGAAAAACCACCACCATGGTTAAGATTGTAAACTCATGGTTAAAATTGTGTCTCGCTAGAGTTAAATTTGTTTATTTTTTTAAATATTCTTTCGTATTCTTTCAACAGAAATTAAACAAATTGTTTTAAATGAGAAAATTGCAAAACAGAAGGATTAATAATAATAATAAAATCAACAACAATAATAATCATACTACCCAGTGAAATGTATATTTTTTATTTAATGCAATTTGTTTCTATTCTGTTATTATAATAATAGCAATATAATAATAACAATAGTAACAATAATAATAATTGTTATTATTATTATCATCAACAACAACTAGTGTAATGCTTCTGTTTTGCATTTTTCAAATTTAATAAAAAATGTTCGATTATATTTTATACAATTATATTTTAAACAGCCTACGTATGTGCATAGTGCAAAAAAGTGTGTTAAATGACTCATGTCAAACCACACACACAGAAGGGTGCCATTAATACTCTGAGGAGTGGGCAGTAATTACAGATGACAGATGGGCGGCAGAGTCAGAAAAGTTGCAGTGGGGTCAGAGCAGGGGTCAGGAGGGGTCAACCTCCGGGCACTGGAGTGTTTGTATGTGCGCAGGCCTTGTACGTGATTATGCATTTACCCTTGTCATGGGGGAGGAGAACTAACAAGTTATCATTAAATGATGTAATGGGGCCACTTCCTCCCTTAAATATGACTTCGGCTGAGCATTTTAAAATGCACCACTACCTGGAGGGGTCATGGCAGGGTTTGCGTGGTTAGAGCACAATGCACAAATGCTGGATTCCATCAGGCACGGCCTCATGGGTATTTCGTGTTGTTCATGAGGCACCGCATCCAGCTGTTTATCGCTAATTTAAACTCTGACATGCTCAATGCTGTGTAAGTGTGTGTAGGGGGGCTAATGGGGTGTTTCTGATTAGACATATTTGGGTTGTATGGAATGCTATGCATCGGATTGGCCCTTTGGGCCATTAAGACTGCAGTTGTGAGTCCCCGAGCACAGATATCATTACACGATCAACATAACGGAAATACAGTTATTGAGCACTAGCTGGAGAGGTGTGAGTGTGTTTTTATGCGCTCTCACCTTACAGCATGTGTGTCAGTGAGTTGCTTGTGATGGTCTAGCATGTTTTAAATCCTCCGTCCTGGTTCTATTTGTGTTTCTTTGCAAATGAAGGGCTAGTTTTACACAAGAGCCCTGCAGCAACAGAACTGCCATCTTTAGATTCCAGTAAATTAATTGTGCGGTCCATAGCCGGGACGTCCTGTGCTGTGTCTGGATAAAAGTGTGTTTGTGTGGGTGTTTGCATATTAGACTTCATATAAATGGGCTTTTGAAATGTTATTAGAATATATAATGACAATATAGTATTTGTATGAGATCTTGAAAATGAGAGAGGTTTTGTCCCTTTTTTCTGATAGGAACAGGAAGTCGCTCTTGGGCTGATCTAATTGCCACCTCTATTACCAGACTATTAAAGAGAGGGAGGGATAGAGAGATGAAGCAAGGAAAGGACAGATGGATGAGAAAAAAAGAGGCAAATTTGATTAATTAATTAAATATTGAGGAGCACAGAGTCCCTCAGCGTTCCACGTCTCCATTCAGCTCCATGTATTAACACTCCACCTACAGTATATTCACAATCCTCTTCCTCTGATTTTTTTTAATGCCACTTAAATGTTGTCATTGCTTTTTGGCTAAGTTATGCTGTATTAAATGTCTCTTTCTCTTTTTATTTTTTTCTCTCAGTCTGTCAGTAAATGTGTGTGCAAAGATCTCTGGGATTGGTATTCCTGATTATGTAGGTGAGTGCATTATTTTTTCTATTAATTGAATGCATTTTGTTTCATGTAAATGGATGTAGTCTTATCAACAAATGTCTTGAAGAAATGTATTTGGCCATTTGTACATGTGACGTCATTATAACAGTGGAAATCTCTCTGCTTAACCTGGTTCTGGATTAAATATTCCCATTTATTTTAAGCTTTTCAAAAAAGTGTTCAAAGCCTTAAACCAAACCAAACAACTCCAAAATTAAATACAATTTTGATTCAAAGCAAAAAAAAAAAAAGGCATTTCAAATAACAATGTTACAAGGTTACTGTGCTAAATGAACTACAGTACACATCCCATAAAGCATAAACAAATCAGCTTTGACCATAAAATATAAAACTATTAACTGAATTTAAAAAAAAAAAGAAATGTATACTTTTATTAAAATAAAGACGTTTATTACTGAAATGTATATTTAAAATAAATGCTTTTGAACTTTCTATTCATCAAAAAGTCCTGAAAAAATTTATCACATTTCCACAAAAATATTAAGTAGCACATCTGTTTTTAACATTGATAATAAGAAATGTTTCTTGAGCAGCAAATCAGCATATTAGAATGATTTCTGAAGGATCATGTGACACTGAAGACTGGAGTAATTCAGCATTGCAGTCACAAGAATAAATTACATTTTAAAATATATTAAAATAGAAAACAGTTATGTTAAATTGTAATATTATTTCACAATATTACAAAAGTTGTTTCAGAGTGTAAGGAGACTGACTCCATTATGTCTTTCTTATTAGAATCAGAATCAGAAAGAGCTTTATTGCCTGGTATGTTTACACATACAAGGAATTTGTTATGGTGACAAAAGCTTCCACAGCACAAACAGAATGACAGTGAAAAGACTGATAATAAAAGGAAATAGCAATATACAACAAATTTTTGAAGAAAAACGCAATATACAAAATAGACAATAGATGGTATTTGTGTGTACAGGTGTGTTATGTACGAATGCAAGGATATGTAAATAGAAGTATGGTGTGTTAAATAAATAAATGTATAAATAATGTTGTGTATTACATGTTTATTGTAAAGTTAACTGTTCATGAGATGGATTGCCTGAGGGAAAAAACTGTTCTCATACCTGGCTGTTCTGGCACTCAGTGCAGATGGCAACAGTTCAAAGAGGAAGTGGCCTGGGTGTGAGGGGTCCAGAATGATTTTGCCAGCTCTTTTACTCACTCTGGATGAGTACAGTTCTTGGAGAGTGGGGAGGGTTGTACCAGTGATTCGCTCAGCAGTCCGGACTATCCGCTGTAGTCTTCTGTGGTCAGTTTTGGTAGCTGAGCTGAACCAGACAGTTATAGAAGTGCAGAGGATGGATTCAATGACTACAGAATAGAAATGTATCAGCAGCTCCTGTGGCAGGTTGAACTTCCTCAGCTGTCGAAGGAACTACAGCCTCTGCTGGGCCTTCTTGACAATGGAGTCTATGTGGAACTCCCACTTCAGGTCCTGAGAGATGGTGGTGCCCAGGAATCTGAATGACTCCACTGTTGCTACAGTGCTGTTCACGATGGTGAGTGGGAGGAGTGCAGGGGGGCTTCTCCTGAAGTCCACAACCATCTCCACTGTTTTGAGTGTGTTCAGCTCCAGGTTGTTAAGACTGCACCAGACAGCCAGCTCTTTAACCTCCTGTCTGTAAGCAGACTCATCACCGTCCTGAATGAGGCCGGGGTGTGAGGGGTCCAGAATGATTTTGCCAGCTCTTTTACTCACTCTGGATGAGTACAGTTCTTGGAGAGTGGGGAGGGTTGTACCAGTGATTCGCTCAGCAGTCCGGACTATCCGCTGTAGTCTTCTGTGGTCAGTTTTGGTAGCTGAGCTGAACCAGACAGTTATAGAAGTGCAGAGGATGGATTCAATGACTACAGAATAGAAATGTATCAGCAGCTCCTGTGGCAGGTTGAACTTCCTCAGCTGTCGAAGGAACTACAGCCTCTGCTGGGCCTTCTTGACAATGGAGTCTATGTGGAACTCCCACTTCAGGTCCTGAGAGATGGTGGTGCCCAGGAATCTGAATGACTCCACTGTTGCTACAGTGCTGTTCACGATGGTGAGTGGGAGGAGTGCAGGGGGGCTTCTCCTGAAGTCCACAACCATCTCCACTGTTTTGAGTGTGTTCAGCTCCAGGTTGTTAAGACTGCACCAGACAGCCAGCTCTTTAACCTCGCATCTGTAAGCAGACTCGTCATTGTCCTGTATGAGGCCAATAAGTGTCGTGTCATCTGTAAACTTTAGGAGCTTGACAGAGGGGTCCTTTTCAGTGCAGTCATTGATGTAGAGAGAGAAGAGCATTGGGTAGAGAACACATCCCTGAGGGGCGCCAGTGCTGATGGTTTGGGTGCTGGATGAGAATTTTCCCAGCCTCACTAGCTGCTGCCTGTCTGTCAGGAAGCTGGTGATCCACTGACAGATGGAGGTGGGCACAGAGAGCTGGGTTAATTTGGACCAGAGGAGGGTTTGGTATGATATTGTTGAAGGCCGAGCTGAAGTCTACAAACAGGATCCTCACATAAGTCCCTGGTTTGTCCAGATGTTGTAGGATATAATGCAGTCCCATGTTGACTGCATCATTCACAGACCTGTTTACTCGGAAAGCAAAATGCAGGGGTTCCAGTAAGGGGTCCAGTGATGTCCTTAAGGTGGACCAGCACACAGTCTTTCAAATTACTTCATGACCACAGACATTAAAGCATCTAGTTCTGTGATTTTGGGTTTCTTTGGTATGGGGATGATGGTGGAGCGTTTGAAGCAGGAAGGGACTTTGCATAGCTCCAGTGATCTGTTTAAAATTTGTGTGAAGATAGGGGCCAGCTGGTCAGCACAGGATTTCAGACAGGCTGGTGTAACACTGCATGGGCCTGGTGCTTTTCTTGTCTTCTGTTTCCAGAAGACCTGACGCACATCATCTTCACTGATCCGAAGTTCAGGAGGGGGGTTGCTGGAGGTGTTATTGGATCCATTGAGAGAAGGTCACAATGGGTGTGAGGTGTGAGACAGGGTTTTTCAAACCTGCAATAGAATTCATTCAAATGTTGACCAGTTTTTGATTCAGTACAGTGCTGGGGGATGGTGTCTTGTAATTGGTGATGTCTTTCAGTCCTTTCCACACTGAAGCATTGGCTGAAAACTGGATTCTCAGCTTTTCAGAGTAGTTTCTCTTAGCCACTCTGATCTCCTTTGTCAGTGTTTTTGGCCTGTTTATACAAGACTCTTTCCCCATTCCTGTAAGAATCTTCTTTGGCCTGATGGAGCTGTCTGTGTTTTGCAGTGAACCACGATGTGTCGTTGTTGTAAGTTAAATGAGTCCTGGTAGGAATGCACATATCCTCACAGAATGTATGATGTTACAGTCTCTGTGAGCTCGTCCAGATCGTTGACAGCAGCTTCAAAAACACTCCAATCAGTGCAGTCAAAGCAGGCTTGTAAATCCTGCTCTGCTTCATTAGTCCATCTTTTTACAGTCCTTATTGCAGGTTTAGCTGATTTCAGTTTATGCCTGTAGGCTGGTATAAGATGAACCAAACAGTGATCTTCATTCAGCCAGGTTTCTGTGAAACACAGAGCAGCACAGTTTGAAAAGTCCTTGTTTATCCAGGAGAGCAGAAGAAGTTTTGTTGGGTAGAGAGCAGAGATTCGCCAGATGGATACTAGGCAGCGCCGTTCTAAAGCCGCGCTGTCTGAGCTTGACCTGTGCTCCGGCTCACTTCCCATGCTTGCATGTCTTAAAGTGCTTGAACAGCACCACCGCTCCGCCAACTACAATGTCCAGTAAAACATCAGAATTGGGTGGTGTGTACTGCCAAATGTTCCGCAATTCATCCATGGTGAAACTGATTGTGGGAATATAACTAAAAACCGGATAAACTAACAAAAACATTCAAACAACTGTAGAGCTCCACACCGAGGCGGCCTTCCGCGGCGCCATCTTGGAAGATCACTTGACGGGAGTAGACTTTTACAGTTGACTTTTGTTTCCATGGTAACAGCAACATTTCTGATTTGTGGATGTTTCTTCATAATTGTACTTGGCAAATAAACATGGTGTTTGTGGCTTCCACATTTCAGAGCTCATGGTGTGTTTTGAATACCATGAATTAGGGATGCTCCGATCAATCGGCCGGAGATCGGTATCGGTGGCCGAAAATCACATTTTATGACTCGATCGGTACTCACTACACTTGGCCGATCTCACGAACCGATTGCAATTTGATGATGTCAACACGTGACGATGTACATGATGCGTGGGACATAAATGATTTGGAGCCACAGTCATGTCATCACCGGTGTGGAAATGCTATGACGTTTCGAGAAACAATGAAAAATTCGCTATTTGTCTTGTATGTTTTGCATGATAATATGATGAATAGATGGTTCATTTTTAACAGCAGATTCAGTGACGTTAGAGCTGATCTGCGCCTCACTGCACACGTCTGCGGCACGTTGGGCTCCATGGCTACTGGAGCTTGTGTTTATCAGCCAGCCGTGGCACGTTTCTGAAACTCTGCAAATTGCGGCTCTCTGCGCTGCTTGGCTAAAAATAGTCTTTTGTGAGTTGTCTCAGCGTGGAGGACGGACCAAAACCTCGTCGGAGCCGTAAGGGATAACGGTAACATAACACGCTGATCGTTGTCTGCCTCATGAAAAAAAAATGTATTTAAAAAATTGTAGTTCATATTTGCATCATTTATGATTTATTTTATCCACCCGCAAATAATCAGAATGCATTTTTTATTACCCGACCATTGGATATAAGAAAAGCAAAATATGTTTGCTGCGTAAATCAGACCGACTTACTGAAAATGCTAATTCATTCTCTGCCAGCAGGAGGTGCTAAAAAGCGGGAGAAACAGGTTGTACACACAGCAGCGCTGAGCTCACAAACGCTGCTTTATCAGGCATATAACATGCAAGAT